CGTCAGTCAGATTATACGTTTATATTGAAGTTATTCTAGACAATTTTGAAATAATCGCCCAATTTTTCCCGATGGACACACACTTAAGTTAGACGAGACGTTAGAGTTAATTAGGTAACTTTTGATGTGTATTAGTCAAATGTTGTGCCTCAAATTTTTCTTTCTCGTCCAGTATACGTATAAAGGATAGGTACCAAGTTGCAACTAGGCAGCCAGTCCCCGAGGCATCCGGAGCCCTTTTACTTACTTGTAAAGCAAAGTGCATTCATCGTGCATTCAGTTTTGGTTTTCTAAAGAAGTTGGCAAACATCCAACAAGAGCCAAGGATAAGGTACCTACTGTATCAGGTTCATTATAGTTATGTTGGCTCTTTTAAAAATGCAAAGGATAAAGAACAGTCTCAAAGTAGTTTCTATTCTGAGTGTCTTGATGGAGAAGATTTTTATATTTAATTTCGAACAAGATAGATAACTTTATAAGTATTGGTAAATATAGGCATCACAGGTTGAGTTTGAACTTCAGAAAGGATATTACCAACAATTTTGTAAGGACATACTCGGCAAACGAAGGAAGATTAAAGTAACATCACTTCAGTTTTAAAAGGAAATGGAAAAATATTCAAAAGAAGTCATACATTATACCAAATTTTGTATAATTCTCTGGACATATAGCCAAATTCGGAAAAGATTAATTCACTTCTTTTATGAACATACAAAATACCTAATTCACTTACCTAAAAACAGTTATCTGCATCATCATCATCATAAGGTCGTCAGTCCTAAGACAGGTTGGACTCGCACCTCCACTTTTTCGCATTTCCTTAAAACTATTCTTCTTCTAATTTTCATCTCCTATCTTTATATTCACTCTTATCGAATACTTTTTAGGATTCCCTATACGTCCGAATGAAAAACGGAACCTCTATAGAATCAATCGTGTGTCTGTCTGTCCGTTTTTCTTCCCTTGCATGACAAATATCATTTCCCATAGCTTTCCAACATTTTTCGAAAACAACACTTCTTGAATAAGTTTAATAAAATTTCTGATTGGTACATTAATTTATATGGTATAAGTCCTGAGACACTGAATAGGAAACAATTTACATAAGAAACTAAAATGTTTATTTTAAATAGATTCTCTGGTAAGTATTTTTCCTAACTGAAAGGCGAAATATTCAAGAAAGTATGCGGCTTAGGCATTAGCGTCAAAAGTTTCAGCTTTATTTACAGTTTCGGAACCTCTAGTAGTACGTAGGTAGGTACTTCCTGAAGGAAAGGAAGTAGTACTATGTATGTTACGTAGACAACAAAGTTGCCAACTATTTCGGTTACCGTTTCGAACAAAACAAACACGACATTACCTTAAAACAAGCAATAAGCCTTGTGCTCCTTGTGTGCGAGTGGAGCGAAAATGGAAAACGAGGGTAGGAGATAAAGGGGTGGCTGCAAGCACGGCAGCACTGCATCGAGTTCAGAAATTTCTGAACGCTTTCGAATGCCGAACAGAGTAGCTTTACCTACCTCGGCATTTGTAGAATAATTGAATGCTAACGGTAGTCGCACGTTGTAAACTCAACTCAAAATTACTTTGCCAAGTTTTAGCTAAGGAATGTAGTAGCAAATGACGAAAATTGGTTGTCTTAATTATGTTTAACTTGATACGTGTTGCAAGATTTAAGGATGTTTGGGAGGTATGTTAAAATGCTATGATACAAATAAAAATTTGGCAGAACGTTCCTCATTCAATTCTAAAACTCCTATAAAAATTACAAATCGATTCACTAAATCGTTAAAAAATTATTGAAATTTTAAAAAATTGTAATTTTACACGTCATTTTATGGAGATTCGTTAACCGAACAGATTAAATTTATTTTTATTAACAGAAAAAAAGCTACCAGAAATTTCAAACTTTTATAATAAGTAACTTGAACTCTGGAGAATCACTTTAGCGTAAGGTTATTCAAATTCACTAAATGGTTATCGAG